GTGTGTGTGTGTGTGTGTGTGTGTGTGTGTGTGTGTGTGTGTGTGTAGGGTGATGGCGGAGCAGGCCTGCAGGGAGCGGGACAAGGTGAGAGCGGACCTGGATCTGGCCGATCGGAGGAACCTGAAGCTGGTGAGGGAGGTGGACGACCGTCACGCCAGCATGGAGTCGCTGAACCAAAGCAGGATCAGGTGACACCTGCACATTATTCTCTGTGTCCTGCTCTCAAGGTTTTTACAGACATAGTTTACAGACTTATTTATTTTCCATCTAATCATGAGAAGACGTCAGAAAAAGGAGAATTTCAAAAACTTAACAACGGACGAACGTGTCAGAGTTGATGTGAAACGTGATCAACACAACGTGAGCTCGTATTTAGCTGCCGTTCATTCACGTCCTCTTTAATCAAAGGAATGATGACGTGTGTTGACGACCTGCTCTGTGATCGACAGGGACCTGGAGCTGGACTTCCGTGATAGGCTGGCAACACTGCGCACGCAGTCGGAGCAGGAGAGCGAGGCTCTGCTTCAGCAGGTGGAGCGTGAGCGCAGCATCCTGCAGGGGGAGCTGCAGCTGCTCAGAGTGCAGGAGGCGCAGCTGCAGGAGGAGTTGTGCAGCGTCGCACAGGTGAACGCATCACTCACCTGCTGCTGCAGGATCACATGATTCAGTTAATATAGTTTATATATGTAGAACTACAGTAGTTGTATCAGTGTGAACCAGACTCCATTCACAAAACCAAACAGCTCCTCTGCTGCCCCCTATCTGTCAGTTTGTGTGACTGTTCATGTTGTGTTGATGTTCAGGAGAACAGTCGTCTGGAGGATGAACTCAGTGTTGTGAAGATGAAACTGACTGAAGCTGAAAACTCTGTGAACAAACTGCAAAGAGACATGAAGCAGCTGCTGCACGACAAGGTAACACAACACAGCTTCTGACAACTGGTGCACAGGGACCTACACTGTCCAGTTAAATCCACAGGTTTAGGTAAAACACTTTGTTGTCACCTCGTCAGTGAAGAAAGAGTTCAGGAGTCCTTTAACGTCTGATGCTGAAATATTTCTTGAAGCTTAACGAGGAGGAAATCAGAATTCATCCACACAACATCTGAGCATGAAGCTCTCTCACACTCTGAAGTCTGCTGCTGCCGTCACACTCCAACAGATCCTTTCATCTGTGGTCTGCTCGTTCCTCTCAAGTGTAGCTTCTGGTTCTGGAGACAGTGTCTGGTCACAGTCTCGTATCTGTGATGTCCAGGGAGGGAAGCCTTTGACCTTCACCAAGCTCTCACACTTCTCAAACAGGCTGTTGCCCCAGAGAGGACACGAGACAGTGTCTACCAACATAACATAACTAACTTCACTGTGTAAACCAGTTAGAACCAGTTTCTCTCTCACACACACACACACACACACACACACACACACACACACACACACACAGTGGTGTAAGGTGACTCGTCCCCTGTAGCTGATGAATCTTTGATGAAAGTTTCTGTGAATTCGTTTCATTCTTGTTCTTGTCGTCTCTTCTGTTCTTGACTTTTTATTTTTCACTTCATCTTCTAACAGAGGCTTTTGCTGATTGATTGATTGATTGATTGATTGACAGCTGCTGTGAACCAAGGAGCTGTGTTGTCTTGTTTGACAGTTTGGTGGTTTGGACCCGGTCGGCGCAGGTCTGAGTCATGAGGAGCGTTTCTGTGAAGCTGTCAAAGAGTACGAGCTGCAGTTCAGGGTAAGAGTGACCTCTACTGAACCTCTGGCTGTTTGTTTTCATGGAGGATTGTGGGTAATGTCTCTGTGGCATTCAGTGAATCTGTGCAGATGTTTTAAATGTACCCGATAAATAAAGTTCATAAATGTAATGACATCAGAAGTGAAACATTGGTCTTAATATGATCGAGCTGAGTGGATGAAGTTTTATTTTGAAAGAATCTCAGTAAGCTTCCTTCTTGTGTGAAGTGAATCACAGTTGTTTCGTGTCTGTGTTTGTGCACCTGAACGCATCGTGTCGGTCATTCAGAGAATCCAGGTGAGAACCTGAGCTCTTCTTCTTTGTTCTTCTCCTCTTCTGGTTTTTAAATCGTCATCACATCTGTTCAGCTTCTCCACACGATGACAAGTCTTCCTGTGGGTTCAAACTTGACCTTTGACCTTCAGAGTCAGACCAACAGGATGTGATGAGTTTAAGTTGGATCAGTTAATCCTGGATCAAGTTATCTCACTGTGTGTGTGCGCTCGTGCCTGCGTGTGTGTGTGTGTGTCCGTGCGTGTGTGTGTGTGTTGTTCAGGAGCTGCGGGACAGAAATGATGAGCTGAGTTCAGAGCTGGAGCTGCTGAAGAGTCAGAGGAGCAACAGGAAGTCCAGAAGAGACGGAGACAACGACGATGCCGCACTGAGCTGGACTGAACAACCCTCTGTCAGCGCAGAGTCCGACTCTGGTAACACACACACACAGCTCAAGTATTAATTCATGTGTGGTTTGTTTCTTTAATTAGCTGCAGCTCGGGAAAATATTCAACCTACTGGAAACAGATTTCAAAATAAGATGATGAGCAGATGTTTCAAAATAAAAGCTCATGTGACTTGATAAACCAGATTTCAGTTCTTGTGGAGCGGGTCTGAGCTGTTCAGGTCAAACATGGACACGCCCACCACACACACAGACACACACATTCTTTGTGCCAATCAGTGCAGGTTTCTGTGTCCTCGTTGTGTTTCTGTCTCATCGTGTCTCGCAGTGAGTCTCTGTCCCTCTCACACTCGTGACCTTTGACCTGTTTTGTGTTAACTTGTTGTGTCACAGTCGACAGTGTTTGTGTGTTTGTGCAGACGACTCGGACATGAAGCGTCACTCGTCTCCTCTGGTGAAGAAGAAACTGCAGCTGGATGATAAGACCGGTGAGAAGCACACACACACACACACACACACACACACATACACACACAGTACATTAGTGTAAATACTGCCCCCCCCAGGTCTGGACAGCGTCTCTGGCCCTGTCGTCAGTATCCAGACTGAACTGGCTCTGGAGCAGCTGAAACAGAAACACAGCCAGGAGCTGCAGCA